GGTGGATTAGTTGAGTATTCTCCTTAAGATGATCACTTGTCACTTCTTCTAAAATCAACCAAGAAATAATTATACTCTCTTTTAGAAGAACTGCGAGGTGATGATCCTTCATTGGTTAAGAGGCATAAGACTTCATGTCTTTCCGAATCAAAATAATAATAAAAAATTTACCTTCTTACCTCCACACTCTTTTCTTTTAAACAATCCATTTTAGCTAAAAACACGGATTTCAAAGAGGTTCCTATAGAGTACTATAGATACATAGGGTGCTAATACATTTCCTTTGTATAACCAACCCTCGTACCTTAGATCTCTTTATTGCTTTGCTTGTTACTTTATTTGTAGTCTTTCTTCTTGCATTCACATGTTTATTGTGAGTTTTGTTTGATCTTTTCCCTTTTCCCTTGGAAACAATAAAGTTCGGTGGTGAACTCTTGTTTTTGCGAGTCAAGTTTCTCAATAGCTTGGTTTCTAATTTTTCACTGCGACAGATGCAGAAGTAACTTCGCTATTGTTACGCTACGGTCATCATGACCACCTTTCCTCAAACGTCTCATCGAGATGTGAAAAACTTCAGGGAATCATCATTATCCCTATTTTGTAGAAGCATTGTGGCAACTGAAAGGACTATCGTCTGTATGGCCTTTTAAAAGCGTACATGCATCCCACTAACTCATTCCATTTATTATTAAAAAGAAACTAAAAAATTTATCTCTTCCTCTATAAATACCTTTTATCTTCATTGTTTGAACTTTTTCTATTTCCAGCTCTCAAAAACTTCAACTCTCTTGCGAGTTTCTAAAAAAACATCAAACAAAACTCACTTCATTTTCAAACTTCAAATTCTTCTACAATTGCGCCTTCAAAATCCAAGAACAACAAATCTATCAATAACCAAAAGGAATTTCTACCACATGTGACCCAAATTGCAAAGCCACTGCTGATAGGGAACCAATGATACGTTCATGAACTACCTTTTCTTGAAGAAAAATGCCAGATTTATCAATCTCGGGCACTCATTCCTTTTATTATTGCTGGTGAGACTCATGCATACATGGGTACTTTATTTGATGTTAATGTTGATGGTGAAAACTAAAAGAATTTTTTCTAACTTACCATCGTACAAACCCTATAGCTAGTAGAATGAAAAAAAATAGTTTCTAGTGAAGATATTAATGTTAAGCCAGATTCTAAGGCACAAACCATAGCTGATACTCAGGTAAAGTCTTCGATTGGAGCCTTAGTAATAGAAAAACCTATCAATTTATATTATATAAACAACGCTCTTAGAGTGTTTCGCTCTTGCCATTTTGTTTAAGGATCCTGAGCCTTACCTCACTTGGCTTGCCAAAGTCGGGAAGCAAAAAGCCCGAACCTAGAAAGAGATGGAAATCTATGACATGATTCAACTGTTAAAGGTTGGGCCAGGCTATTGTCAAAACATGTCTGTAGCCTCTCTATACTTATGGGATAGTACTCACAACACTTTCCATCTCCCTTGTGGAATGCTAACCCCCACTTTATTCGACATTGCTACTATTATTGGTCTTTGACCAACTGGGAAAGATTTTGACCCTTACAAAATGAATGAGGACACAATAAATTTCAACGCCAACTAAGCTAGATTTACCTATTATATAGTTGATCATCATAACAAAATAACTAACGAAGTCTCTAACGAAGAGCACCTTGCTTTTCTAGCACTTTGGTTATCACGTTCTATCTTTTGCTCCAAATCCCTACAAATAGCAAAAAGATTCTTAACTCTGGAAAATCAGTTGCATGCTGGACACAACATCTGCCTTGGCCAATTTCTACTAGGATGACTCTACGAGTCTTTGAGAGAAGTTGTTGAATTCCTGAAAAACTATCAATTAGGGACGAACCTATTGTTGGCTGGTCCATATTGGTTACTTCAACCGTGGCTTAATGCCATTTTTGATCCTTTTATCCCAACCCATAAAACACTTGACGAAGAGGATGAGAAGATTAAAAATAAGATAATCGAAGGAACGCTACTTGCTCAACTGACTCCTACTGACAATGGATTAAACTTAAAAGATCCTTTACTAGGTATGTGATGATGTTTACCAAGCGTTAAAACTTAACTTCCTCTATGGCTCTCTTCGCCAACAGAACCCGTGGCCCTGGGTTGTTCACCAGAGTATTCCTCGCTCATTCGACGAATCAAGAGGCAGAATACTTAGCCATATGGGAGGCTTTCCTCTTCCCTAGGCTAATTGCAACCAGACTTAGGCCTTCGAAGAACCAAATCATCTTGCTCAATTACCATCCTAACCTTGTCTCTCGATATTTTGGCCTTAATCAAACAATGCCCAAGCCACTTTATAACAAAAAAGGTGTTATCTTCCTTTACAACATGTATTTCTCTGAGGCTGAATGTAACAAACAAATGTTACAATATTCCGAAACTACTAAACTTACTCTCATCTCCTTTTATTACACTCAAGAGTTTGATACACGATGGAGAAAATATTATACTTCATATAACTTAGATGTTCCTGCCATTACTCAACATCTAACAACTGCTTTTGGTTCTATACATGAAAGGTTAAATAAAGTACGATAAATCACATCAAGAAAATCCAAGCATTCCAGAAATACTTTGAAACTACATACATACCTCATGACCTTAGTCGAACCATCCGTGAAGCAACATTTATTTTAAAAGAGAAGTTTACAAAGAAACTCACTGAGTTAAAAATTCCTTCATGTGTCAAACACGAAGACAAGTATGAATTAGCTTTTAAACTTCAACCACCAAAGTTCTCACCACTGCCAAGTGTTGGTTTTGGCTTAGCACTTAGACCTCCATTTCCAAAATGGTTCATCTGTGGGTCTTACTTAAAACTCTTTCAACAAGATTCTCGAAAACTTTATAAATGGATGGTTCCGATTAAGTAATACTCTAGAGAGTTTCAAAGGTCACCTTCGTGTCGACATAGAGCATATTCTCATACTTTCTCCAATACATGAAGGCGCAGAATAGGAGGAGTTTTCGACTTACTCTTCTCCAATTTTTTTAAATATCCTTCTAATTTCGATAATTTTTTTGTCTGTCTACTCTTTTTAGTTATCGATCAAAAACAAAAAATAAAATACAAGGTTGTTGTTGCTAGGGAAGCTGCTCTGGCGAAGAAAGCTGCTACTTTGGCCAAAGATGACGACCAAGACAAAGAGACAACTCTCACAAAGGAAACAACAAAGGTATAACTCATACTTTAACATATCATTCCATGTATAATATATATTTTTCTAATACCTTTTCTATTTTCAGGTTATTTGAAAACCTCCTCCAACTCAAAAAAAAATGAAGGCCAACCAATCCACAACCTCAAACAATAGAAAAAGATGTTGAAGATCTGTCGCCAGACACCTCCAAACCTACAAAGAAAAATAAGTCTAAACCATAGGACTCCACTCCTCAAACAAAACCCAACATTATTAAAATCAAGAAATCAAAGTCGAATGCTTAGAAAGTAATTAATGTTGATTTTGAGCCAAATGCCAACATTGCACCTGATCAGGATGAGAGTGATAACTAGAGTCCTGGTGCTGATGGGCTTAAGGTAATACATCCTCATCCAACTTCTTCTTTCGTTATGCTTTTATTTTCAATTTATAGTAATTCTTCTGTATTTTGCAGCATGATCAAACTGGTACCGAATACTCCAACATCAAATATGTTAACCCAGAAGTACCAGTTCCCTTTCAGTCCATCTTATATCCAACAAAGGTTCAAATAACGGATCTACAGTAGAAGTGAATCAACCTGTCAAAGTTTAATAAGACTTTCCTCCACCCACTACTTCATCCCAACAATCCCAATCATCTGACTCTGGAAGAGGTAGAGAACATTGACATGGAGATTCCAGATATGGAAGAGCTTAATTGAGAAAAACCAGATGATTCTTCACCCAAAATTCCCAACCATGGTGAAGATGGGAAAGATGATGAAGACGAACACATGTCTAGCATCTTTGAAGATCCCCAAGGCGAAGAAGGACCTAAAAATTAAAATACCCAACTGGACAACACAACTTTTATCCACCAAACCTTTAGGACAATTAAGGGTTTCCAGGTCCCTTCGAATGTTACATCTGTTGCCCCTTCCCAAGAAGAGTTAGAGAATTTTGTAAAAAAAACAAATTCGCTGAGTATCTAAAATTGATGATGAGTGCAAGAGGAAGTTGAAGTGATAAGTGTTCCAATTCTTCGACCGCCTTTGGTGGCCATTCTACCATCGAACCTACTGACAAACTGCTTCATCAGATTAAAGAGAAAGTCTTTAACGTTAACTTGATCTAAGTTTTAGAAGATGATACAATTGCCTGCTACGGGATCAAGGATATGCTTAAACAAGTTGGCATCTTAAATACTCCTCTAGAAGTTGTAGGTGTCATTGTAGAGCTTGGGTTCCTCATTAATCAAGTCACTGCAAATGTCACACGCAAATGAGAAGCTTCGACCAAGATCCAAAATAAAACGGAGACCCAAACAACATAATGGGATGCAGCCACTGAGTCTACCAACAAAGTCGAAGAGTTGGAAAAGACTTTTCAACAAAGTCAAGAGGAACTCAATACATGTGCTTCCAATATTTCTAACTGGGAACAACAAATCAGAGAGTTGCAAGCCAACATTGAAAAAACCAAGGAACATCAAGAAGAAACTCAAAAAGTTAATCCTAACAACTTGACGACGAGATCAAAAAGTAGGTGTATATCAAGTCGAAAGAGCCCAAAATTTGGGACTCAAAATTGCTACTGTAACGCCCCTGGATTTCATCCAAGACATTACTAAAAACTATATTTACTTTAAAAAAAATACTATGTTATTTTTAATATAAAATTATAATAGCAAGTTTGGAAAGATATGTAATTTAAAGCAAAACAAATGAGTTTAATAATAACCCTATTTTCTCTCTGGGATCGCTTGTAACAACATCACACGATTTTCACTTCACATCTTCAAATTCATTAGTACCTAAAATGTTGGTCGTAAGGGATTAATCTTCCACCATTCATACCAAATCATACAAAACATACGGTATGGTATTATAAAACAAATTATACAAAATATAATAACTTAAGATAAATCAAATTCACAAAATCATTATTTTATAATTATCTCTGAGTGTGAATATGCATGCTCTTAGAACTATATGATCCAGATATAATTAGCTCGCCACTAAGACACCACACAGAATTCATCCCATGTCAATGGAGAAATAATTCGCCACTATGGAAAACCGCCATTAAGGCAACCCACCACAAAGGCAATCCGCCACAAAGAAAACCCTCTCGCAAAGGCAAACAATGCATATGCCAGGAAATGATGATGCAAATGTAAATTCTATCACTTAGACAATTATACAACCATATAGTATCACATTATCAAGCACATCATCTTAAAATTTATTTCACATAATCATTCATCTTCAAGCGTATTCGATTCACATCACAACCACACATAATAATGACAATCACAAACAAAAAAATATTCATCCACGTCACATAATCATAACAAAACTTCATCCACAAACAACCAAAACACAGTATATATAAAACTATTATTCATAATTAGAGCAAAGAAACAATAGGAATAAGGAAAATTAAGCCTATTGTTGTCATGCAATGGTGGTCCTAAATTTAGGATATCAAAAGAAAATCTATCTAATGTTATCATGCTTGTTTTAGAACCTAAAGTCTATTCCAATTCAACTTAATCAAGGATCCTAATTGAATCGGACAATCCTAATGGAGCATGTGAGCACAAGCAATCAACAAAGAAACAAGGAGAACGATGCCACGTTCTCAGCTAGGGGCGAGACTGAGTGACTCTTTGTTTACAACAAAGAAAACAAAAGAAAAATGTCGTGATCTCAGATATAGTGTAAAACTGAGTGACTATTTGTTCATAATAAAACAAACAAAAGAATAATTTCGTGATCTCAGCTATGGTGCAAAACTGAGTGACTATTACTTCACAACAAAACAGACAAAAGAACAATATTGTGATCTGAACTATGGTGCAAAGCTGAGTGACTCTTCATTCACAACAAAGCATGACAAAATGGTAGCAATCCGAATCAAAGTTTCAATTGGAAATGGCACACAATAAAATAATAAACTAAGAGTATACAAGCATCAAGTGAAAATAAATCACAAGCAGGAAGTGCATCAAATAAGCCCGAGGTATCAGATAAGAACTTCTGCATCAGATGAAGAACCACACAGACAGACAAAACTAGAATAACAGAAATATAATCCAAAGGTCTCTTATGAAATAAGAACTCAAGTCCAAATGAGTTAGAACCATGTATCAAATTTAGATGAACAAATGGAACATAAAGTAAATGTTTAATCAATTAATCAATAATTGATTAACTTAATTAATTAGATTAAGAAAATTTTAATTAGAAAAAATAATTAATTTTTAATAACAAAATCAACTAAATAAATTAACATTTGATTAATTAATTAATTAAAAGTAACAAAGTGTGCAAAGACGAAGTGACCCATCCTGAAAGCTTACATAAACTATGAACATGTTGGTAACACAAAAAAAGTGTAATAAACAAATAGAAATTTTCCTTTAATTCATGCATAAGTAACTCAATTTCCCAATCAAAATCACCCTACATGTTTGTATGAAAAAACATAGCAAGAATCATGGATCACATATGCAATTAACATTCAATTGTGTATTAACAAATTAAGTGGTGAAAGACAAGTTGCAACCAAAATCTCATGGAAACTTTTAAATTCTCAAAACAATTTCCACCACCACTCAATTCCAATTAATGAACAACACCATATAATCCATGAAAACAATGAAAATCCAATCACAACAAAATATCAGGTACCCAAAATAAAGTGATTCTCATGGATGTAAAAGAGATTAAACTTCATGAATCGAAGATGCTAAACCGATTTTCACAACTTCAAACATTCATTCCATTCATCAAAACTAAAATCTCATGGCATTAAAATCAAGTATCACTCAATTCAAGTTCAAAACATGAGAAACAAAATTTGAACACATTTTTCGTCATGTTATTAGCATCTGGGCAGCAACATCAAAACATATATTGATACTAAACAATTTCATCTCAAGCATGTTCATCACAAATAAAGACAACAAAATAAATGCCATAACCGAATTTCCTCTTTTGAAATCAACACAAACAACACCATAATGTCATCAAAACTTCATCATTCACATTAAAACCCAATAAAGTGATGTTTTCATCAACTCTAATACTCAAATTCAACACAAGTAGCATGGTATTGACATCAAAATTTCATCATAATTTATCACTAAAATCCCACAGATGTAACACAAACAAACACCATAACACAATCAAAGCTTCTTTTAACACAAATGACATGGTATCATCATCAAGATTTAATCACAATTTAACACAAATAAACATAGTAACAACATCACAACTTCATCATTCAATTTAACATAAACATTACAAACTATCAACACATATTCAATCATATTTTATAAATTAAATCAAATAAAAATGGTGATGAAGATATATAAGCTTACCAACTTGAAGATGATGGTGGAGGAAGGTGAGTCTGTGAACAGAGGAGTGGTTGGTTTGACCGGAGATGTGGAACAATTGGTTGGTGTGGTAGCTGGGTTGTGTTGGAAGGAATACATATGGAGTATGCTACGAAGAAGGTTTGGTGTGGTTGTTGGGTTGTTGACGTTGGACAATGTTGAAGGGAATAAAATGGCTGAGATGAATCTTGTTTGTGAGTAGCAAAGCGGAAGAGGGTGTCTTCCCTGATGGTTGAGTTGCAGAACAGAAAACGGACGGAGAAAGTATCGTTGTTATTGAACATGGGAGGAGTAGGAGAAGAAAGGATGGGCCGAAAATGGAAGGTGGGTGTTAGAGCTCTCTCTCGTTGCCGTTTTTGTTTTCTGCCTCCATCTGATCCTCCCTCTTGCAATTCTTATCTTTATTCTTTATGTACCACCCCCTTTAGACTTTCACTATATTTTTAAAATGGCAAAAATGCCCTTTTTGATAAAATCAACCTAAAAAACTAAAATATTAAAAATAAGAACATCCAAAAAAATTTGTTTTAATTTTTTTGGAATAAAAATGAGACCTAAAATAATCAAAAACGATAAAAAATGGATACTTAATTAATCGAAAAAAAAAAAGGAAATTAACATACTAAAATAAACCACAGGTCATAAAGCTTAATAAAAAATACTGCAAAGTACCAAAATCGAAAATAAAACTAAAATAAGAATATTCGAATGAACAGACACTGACAGTTAAGAAATAGACTGCAAATTGCACCGAAAAAATTAAGCGAGCACACCAATATGATCTACACACAACGTAGATTCATAAAACATTAAACTAAAGATGAAAACTTGAAATATTTTACCTGTTAATTTTCTGCACAGTGTCGATTCGCTTTTAACAATCTTCTTGTAGAACCGATGTATCAATATTATTGAAATATGATCAACCTGGCGTAATGCATGAAGCAGTGTAAGGAAATAAAAATGTATGAAGTGTGATTTATGGTATTTTTAACTCTAAAACGATGCAAATGTTGATTTAAGTTGACTTTTGGCCAACCTAAATGCATGAATATCCAACTAATGATGCAAATGCGATGAATGAATGACCCTGGGGAAAAATTTGGGGTATGACACTCATCATCATAGATGGTATCGATCCTCTGGCTTTCCACATCAACTTGTAACTTATCCGGTGGCTCTGGCTCAAAATCCACACCAGGCCCTTCAAGGTGTATTTCAGTCTCATTGGCTTCGACAACCATATATTTAACTTCAGCCTCTAAGGCCACTTTCAACCAGTTTTCGACTATCTAAGCCGAAATATTTTACATTACAGTGGACTCAGACATAATCATTATCTTCGTCTCCCTAACCATTAGGTCGGAGTCTTTGCGCCCCTTCAACTTCGTCTTCTTCTATGATGATCTCTCTATCCCACTAAAAGCCATGGGTTGAGTGCAAATTAATAAAATAAAGTTCCTTGTCCAAAGGCATGTAAGCGAATTCGGCAGGGGAACAAGGCGCTATGTTCGCCAAGTTCCGGTCAAAATGTCATTTATCCACATGGTTAACCTCCTCTATAAAATAGCTTTGACTAACCTTGATATTCTCCATTATACCATCACCTCACCGGATCGAAATCCTTTGACGTAGCAAAGATGGCACCACCCTAATGCCATGTATCCATTCATGACCCAAGAGCAGATTGTAGTTGGCTTTTGATGCTATGACCATAAACATAGTTGGGCTAGTAATGGATCTAACTTTTATGTCAACTTAAATCACTCCTAGGGTATGGCCGACTTTCCCTTCATAACTCGACAAGACCATATTATGTGGCTTTAGGTCAGTGTCAAACTTTCCAATCCTCTTCAACATGAAGGATGGCATCGAGTTAACTTCTGCCTCACCATCCACTAGAATCTTATTGACTCCAATATTCTAAACCTTTCCTCTAATAGATAGAGGCTTCAAATGATTTTTTATTCCTTCTTCTGGTCTTTCAAAGAACGTGTTCCTCTCTTCGACACATCCATTGTTCACCAATTAATAACAAATTGGTATGTGTATGGCCATTTTTGCTTCATCGATCTCCTTAGTTCTATTATTTCTATGAAATTATGATTGATATGAATTATGGTAAAACTAATTTTGCAGCAACATGTTGAACAAAACGTATCAACTTGCAGATTCAACATGTATAAGGTCATGTCCTAACCAGAAGTATAGGACATTTAGTCTATTACAGTTTTGAAGTTTGGAAAATATTTCAACTTGCAGTTTCAACATGTCCAATGTGATGTTCTAACCAGAATAACAAGACATCTAGATTGTTATAACTTTGCAGTTTGGAAGATGTTTCAACTTGATATTTAAACATGTCGAAAGGGATGTCCTAACCAAAAGTATAAGACATCAGGTCTGTTACAGTTGACAGTTCAGATTCAGGTAATGTGATTTAATTACTGAATATTCTGGGAATATTTAGTAATCATATGTGGCGTCCAAGATTGATAAATCAAAGATACTATGTTGGTTTTTCAAGATATTTAAACTTTATAAATATGGAGACATTATAGGAAAGTTATGATTGAAGATCTATTTTCTTGGAGAAGTTTTTGCAGACTTTGTGCAGCCTCTCTACTGTGTTTTTGAAGCCCAAATCCAGTTGGGAAAAAGGTTATAGATAGAAGTGTTTCTAACCTATAAGAGTATGGGTCCAAGATGTAGAATCGTTAGGGCTTTGTCATTATGCCACTCTCTAGGAGAGTTGTTTTGTGTGATCCACTCGGGTTGTGAGTCGGATTATGTTACAGAGTGGTAATCTCTATTATTGTTCTCGTTGAAGCTTTTAAGCAAGAGGTAGTAGTGTTCTTGGAGGAAACTATTAAGCAACTCTAAAAATTATTCTTGATCTAAGCTGTGAAGAAAGATCAAGTATGTTGCTCTTAATCAAGGGGTGTCTTGATTAAAGTGTGGTTTTGTATTAGAAGTGTGATCTTTATTTAGGTGAAAGGGCGTCAATATAGTAACTGGGACTGGGATTGTTAAACATCATTGCGGTGGTTAGAGGTGAGATGTGATTTCTTATATTTATGGAGGACATAGGTAGAAGTTACACATGGTAATGATTAAGTGATAAGTTGTAAACTTGGGATTAGTTTAGATTTGAATTGATACTATTTTAATGAATTTCCTTCTTGGTTTGGTAGCCCCTAGAGTAGGTGTTGGTTTGCACCAAATTGGGTTAACAATTATGTGTGTTGTTTATGCTTTTTAGTATTGTTTTGTATGTTTATACCTTGCCCCTGTGTTTTAAGTCGGATCATATGTCCCAACATGTCATAGGTCATCTGAAGTCTGATATACCAGAATTTCAATTGGTATCGGAGCAGGCATCATGTTCTATTTCTGGGTGAGATCCTGGGATGATATTTTCTAGTCATGGGCAGGGAATAAGGTTGTTACTGAAAAGTTGTTTGAACTTGGATAGTTCATATTTTTGTTTGAATGGTCCCTTAAAGTGGAGGATGGACTATTCATGACATGGTGTGTATTGGACCTGTATTTTGTTGTTGGGCTTGTAGCTTTGATGGAGAGCTATTGTGCTATGGTTTGATTTATTTTCAAACCTCTGTTTTTTTGGCACCTGTATTGTGGTGCTTATGTGCAAGAGTTGTGAAGCAATGCTTGAAGATTGTTGAGGAGTGTTATGTTTTGTGTTTCATTGCATTCGTTCTCCTCTGAAAGTCTATCATGTGATGGTGCGTTTGTGTATGATAGATTTATTGTACACTAAACTTTTCCCTCTCATTTTCTCAAGATTTCTCTCACAAGATGTCCATTGGTTCAAGAAGGCACGAGGATGGATCAACTCAATACACCTCCTCAAGCACTGATGACTCAAAATTAGGGTTTGAGTTTGCACAAGTAAAATTGGACTTTTAAGGCCCCATATGACTTTCACGGATCATTTTGGACTCAAGATTGCTCATGTCAAGTTTCAAACTTTGGATCACATTTTTGCTCAATCAATTGATCAATTGACCTAAAATCAAATGTATTGGGTAAAAAGTCAATTGTGGTCAATTTATAGTCAAACTTCATATTTTTTTATCCATATCAACATTTTGAACTCATATATGTCAATTGGTCAAGTTTGGATCATAATTCCTCAAGAAATTTGATCAGAACACCAAAAGGACAAAATGGTCAAAATTAGGGTTTTGACTAAGAAGGCTCAACTTTTGACTTTTGATCAAATACATGACTTATTGGTTTGATACATGATATCAAGGATTCAAACAATGAAAAATTCATCTGATAATGGCATGGTTCAAAACACTTCTCAAGATCAATTGATTGATAGTTGAAATTTGGTCAACTGATGAAAAAGTCAACTGTACACTGAAAAGTCAAACATTGACTTTTTGATCAAAATCAAGTTTCAAAAATCATATTTCATCAAGAGATGTCAAAATATGAATATTGTTCATAAAGAAATCAAAAAGTCAAAATTATCTTTGAAAAGTCAAAATTCTAAGACTTAGAAATTTTTCTAAGTGTTAGAAAGTTAACTTTTTTTCATGACTTTGTGCCAAATTTTAACCATGATGCATGATGATTCAAAGGAATATTTCAACATGAAAGTTGTAGATCTTGATGAATTATACAATTTGTATTAGATGGTTGATGTCCAAAAAATGCTTAAATTTGAAGATATAAGCCCATGAAGCAATGACATTTTCATCTAACACTTAGAGAAATTTCTAACAGATTTTGGTCAGGATTTTATCCCAACTTCTTGGTGTTTTTTCACATAGTTCCAAGATGATTTTTTCAAAATGGAAAACATGAAATTTATAGAGGATGTTTCAAGCTTTCCAAAACATCCAAGATCATGAATTTACCATACTTGAGCTAGGAGATTTAAGGACCTGAAGGTGGGCATTCATTCTTGATTTACAAGACAGATTTGTGATGAATAAGGAACCAAAATCTTAGCTATGCTGCATAATCTTACTTTGCAAGCCTCTTGACTTGCAAATCTATCCATAATCAGATGTTCACACAATTGATTGAACCATTATCCAAGTGATTCAAGTATTGTCCATTGCATCTTTCCATTTTTGGCACAAAGGTACCATTGCCATTCTTGCAAAGTTCACTTTAATCACAAAGTCAATTTCTTGAGCCTCTAAATTGTTGTTCTAATTACACTCAACTTATACAAGTCATAACAAACATTTTTAAAGTGATCAACCACTTTAGATAGCTTGATACAAGCATTGGAAACATGTTC